CAAACAGACCATAACTCAGCAACCGTGTGCATAAGAATGCATAAGGGAATGCATTTTAAATAGTCCTGTACACTTGAATCTTGTTCACATCAATCATACATAGAAACCCTGTTAACACAGATACTGTATACTTGATTATGACCCATCCATACATGAATCAGTCCCAAAAGGGTGTCTAATCATACAGAGCACTTCAGGGTTTCTGAGCCAGTTCCATGAAGTATCTGGCTTTAATTGCTGGTGGAAAGGATGCTATGTTTTCCTTTCTTATTTGTTAAGAAACTTTTATGATTAGGCAGTTAACTATCGGATATCTATTACATTTAACCATGTCTTTGTATAAATACAAAGAAACAGATAAAGGACAAAGGAAAAGAGTATGAGAGTAGTAAATGTACATTGCAATTGCAAATATTCCCTGAACGTTACTTAACTGCTTTCAAAAGTAGCCTTGCCTTTTCATGAAGTGTTCTCCTTTTTCCTACTTTCAAAACTACTGATAATGGTAACCAGCTCTCCAGCAACTTGACTAGAAGTCATTTGTGATAATCCTGGTAATGTCGAAATAGTAGAAATTGGTTCTTTATTCTGAACTTCTCAGTGAACTGAATATTACACTGGAAATGCCAAACTGTACATGGTAAAATTAGTATGGTAACAATCTACATGTAGTGGTACTTTTATGTTTGCATCATGCTAATAAATTTTTTTATCCCCTTTTGGTTATGCAAGATGTCTAGGACGCTAGCAAAATGCATATAACATATCTATCTTTTACATAGTCGATATAATGCCAAATGTAGGAAATTTGTCACAAGTCACATAATTCTGCATATTGGCACCACTTTGTAAAATGTCATTCTAAATACGGCATTATCAAAGGTTAGTTTCTAAGCTGGTTTTCAGATGTCCATTCACATACTTTAACTCTAGAAAACTGAGGTTGTCTTTTCTAGTTAGTTACAGCTTATGGTTAGCATATGCTTGATTATAAACATCCTCAGGTAGTTTGGCACATAGTTATATAAGTAAATACACATTAGGTATGAACATTGACTTTGACTTTGTTTCCCTTTTTTATGAAACTACTATTTGCATCTATTAATCACTGGTGGAGTACAATCTGCCATACAAAATACATGCTCATTTTTGTACTTTATGAAGTTAAATCTAAACTACTTACTAAATCTTTCTACCGTAATTCCACATGCATGCATTTTGAGTGGTTCTTAAACTTCTGTGTGTTCCTGTATCTCAGAATTTTGCCTCCTTTAAAGTATACAAACACTTCCCAAAAAGGAGAACACTTTGGCCAACACTGTTTCCTTTTATGTAACATCTTTTCAGGAAAAATAGATTTTAGTTTGAGGTCCTCTGGTCTCCCATCTCCGCTAAATTTAATATTAGAAAAGTTGACCGAAAATCACTGGGATTTATTATTTAAACTGTAATTTGCATATCAAAACTGTTAATGCTATATTATAAGTGTAATAATAGCCCACTGAGGGAGATTCCTTACCCTCCATCAATGCTGACCTTGTGAAGGAACACCTTGAGAGGCTGGATACCTTCAAGTCAGCCAGCCCTGACAGTTTACATCCCACGGTACTCAAGGAGCTGGCTAGCATCATAGCTCAGCCCCAAGCACAGATCTTCGAGAACTCCTGGCACTCTGGTGACATGCCTGAAGATTGGAAGAAGGCCAATGTGGTGCCTATCTTCAAGAAAGAGAGGAAAGCAGGTCCAGCAAACTATAGGCCCATCAGCCAGACCTCTATCCCGGAGAAGGTCTTAGAAAAGATTATCAAAGAGGCCATTCTTAACAGACTGGCCAATGGCAACATCCTGAGGGATAGCCAACACGGGTTTCTTGTGGGTAGGTCTTGATTGACCAATCTTATCCTTTTATGACCAGGTGACCTATCACCTGGACAAGGGAGAAGAGATTGATGTCCTATATCTTGACTTTAAAAAAGCCTTCAATCTGGTATCCCATGGTCACCTCTTAGCAAAACTGGCCAACTGCAGCCTCAGCTTCACCAAGATCCACTGGCTGGGGAATTGGCTCCATGGTAGGTCCCAGAGGGTAGTGGTTGATGGAAGTCAATCGTCGTGGTGCACTGTGACCAGTTGGGTCCCTCAAGGCTTTGTCCTTGGGCCTATACTATTCAATATCTTAATTAATGATGTGGACATTATTATCAGAAGCGGACTGGTCAAGTTCGCCGATGACGCCAGACTCTGGGGTAAAGCATCCACAGCTGAGGACAGGAGGGCAATCCAGGCTGACCTTGACAGGCTCAGGAAATGGGCGGATGAAAACCTGATGGTGTTTAACACCGAAAAATGCAAGGTTCTCCACTTTGGGAAGAAAAACCTGCAGCATGCTTATAGGCTTAGCAGTGCTATGCTGGCTAGCATTATAGATGAAAGGGATTTGGGGGTCATGATTGACCACAAGATGAACATGAGCCTTCAATGTGATGCTGTAGCTAGTAAAGCAAGCAAAACACTGGCTTGCATCCATAGATGCTTCTCAAGCAAATCCCAGGACGTCATTCTCCCATTGTACTCAGCCTTGGTGAGGCCGCAGCTGGAGTACTGTGTCCAGCTTTGGGCTCCACAATTCAAAAAGGATGTGGAGAAGCTTGAGAGGGTGCAGAGAAGAGTCATGTGCATGATCAGAGGTCAGGAAAACAGACCTTATGAGGAGAGGCTGAGAGCCATGGGACTCTTCAGCCTGGAAAAGCGCAGGCTCAGGGGGGATCTGGTGGCCACCTATAAGTTTATCATGAGCGCTCACCAGGATCTGGGGGAACATCTTTTCACCAGAGCATGCAAAGAGATGACAAAGTTGAATGGTCACAAACTCATCCATGACCGTTTCAGACTGGACATAAGGAAGAACTTCTTTACTGTCCGAGTCCCCAAGGTTTTGAATAGACTGCCGCCAAGGGTAGTTCAAGCACCTACTTTGAATGCCTTCAAGAGTCATTTGGATGTTTATCTTGCTGGGATTCTATGATCCCTGCTGACTTCCTGCCCCTGGGGCAGGGAACTGGGCATGATGATCTTCTGAGGTCCCTTCCAGCCCTAATGTCTATAAATGATTGTACTTGCCTCTATTCCTAGAAGAATTGCTCAGTGAGAAAGGAAAGACTAGGACTACCACACTGATTTGGTTAGGTTACTGTATGGAATAGGAAAATACTTATTACAAACTTACATTTTGGTACTGTTCATCTCTCACTATGCAATCACATTTTTTTTTTTCTAAAATCAGCAGTATTCAATGTATTTTAGTGTGTCTGCACTTAACTCTTTGTCCCTTGTTGATGTCACTGGTCCAACCTGTCTTGCCCTTGCTCAATAATAGAGTTGTTGACCCCCCCCCCAAAAAAAACAAACAAACCCAACAACAACAAGCAAAACAATTCATTCAGGAGACTTCATCCTTCCTCCTCCTTTTGAATTTACCTTTGAAGGAGAACTGTACTAAGAGCATTCAACTTTTTTCCTGTAAAAAAAAAAAAAAAAAAAAAAAAAAGGACCTACCTAGTAAAAGCTGATGAGTGCTGAGGTTCATGTTAGTAGAGTGAAGTGTCCTTTGCGTATGTATTAGATCTAAACAAACATATCTTTCTGTCAAGGCAGGAAAAAGATGGATGAGGGGTTTTTTTTAAACAAAAAACATTGCTACAGTGGTAATATTGATGAAAATGGTAAATAAACCCGTTACAGTGAAGACTAAAGTGAGATGTTGATTCAGTAATTGAATAGCAAATGTGGCTTTGGGTTTACTGGAATAGTGTGTGACTGCATATTGTATACATGAAACACAAATAATAATTCTTTGTAAAACATTTATCATACTATTTCTGTTTTAGCAGTCCTTAAAAAGGTACTTTGGTAGTAGTGGTCTCTCTTTCTGAAAAGGAAAAATTGAAAATTATCCAAGTCTGAAATTTGATGATGTTAAATTTTAATAGTTAAAGTGCAGTATGGTAGGTTTTGGGTTTTGTTTTGTTTTTAAATACTGTGAATAGCAGAATCATGAGGAATTATTTCAATATCCACATAAATTTAAGGTTAAGATTGTGTTTGATTAGTGCACACGTTTATTTGTAAAGTCTCTCTTCAGGGAAGAACAAAGGAAAAATAGAAATGACCCAGAAAAGGTACTGACACATCTCATATTCATAATGCTAGATTCTACCTTCAGATAAAATGTAAAGTCTCCATTAAACCATGTTTATCTTTGGTGATTAATGTAGTACATAAAATGTAGCCTAAGATATACCCTGTAATGTCATTTTGTTGAATAGTGTCTATTTATCAGTTTATCTGAATGCCCTTCAAGATAAAACAGCTATATAATTCTAGTCAATAACCTAATTAGGACCAATTTATAACAAGTACTCTGTCCTCAGCTGGGCAAGAAAATTAAATCTTAGAAATTGTCTTTCTAAATGCACGACAAATACAAAATAGTTCAGTAAATTCCATATTTTTACTTTTACAAATCTTTAAAATGGGTTAAAGGTGTTGTATAACTAAATAAATAATCATTATGGAGAAGATGAGCTGGATGCAGTCTAACAAAAATAATATTTTATTGGCTAAGGCACTTGCATTTGAACTCACTACTCCTGGACATGACTTTATTGTGTTTTCTGCACTGCATTGCAAATAAACACACATGTTTATCTATTTAGTTGAACAAATCTTTTTACGTTTTGCACTGTAAATCAATAAATATATTTCTCTCCTTGTCGGTCCTTTTGTTTGGAGATGTGTATTGACATTTCTTTTTGTATGTTTCCAGTCCCACTTGGATGTATCCTATGAATCCACCTTTTCTTCCTAAATCAACTTTTTAATATGCAAACTGGATATGTAAACTTCATTAAGCATTCAGTCAGCATATCTTGGTTTCAAAATGTTTTTAACTATACATGTCTTTAATTTAATATTATTAATATCATTTCTGTCTTTAACAGCCTCAAGTACTACAGCCTTCCAACAGCCTTCCCAATACCACAGACCTCGCCCAGGGAAAATTAATTAAAATGTCACATATTGAGGCCCCCAGTGAATACCATAAACATGGCCTGCATGAAAATGGTGATCATCAGAATAAAAATGCTGCTGATACGTCTCATGAAAATAGCCTGAATGAACAGAACCTTCTATTGAGTATACGGTTAGGTATAAAAGATCTGAATGAGAACGCATTTTTGACAGAAAATATGGAAGTTAAAAAGAGTGCTAAAGAACCTAGAGAGATGGCTAGTAATGAAGGTGGTACACTACGGTCTCATGATTCGTCTTTTCAGACACCTGCCCACATGAATACAAGAAAGATGCAGACTAAGTTAGCTGTGAGAAGTAAACAGTTGTCCATGAGCCATGCCTCTTGGCCAAAGACTGTAAGAATTACAAAGCCCCCAAGCCAGAATGCTTTAGTGTCTCCTACAATGGCTGTTCTTGAACCATCTCCAGCTTCCAAGGAGCCTGAAATACCACCATCAAGTAGTCCAATACACCTACAGCCAACATCCAGTCAGGCTAACCTGAAGAGTAAACAGAGCCAGAAAATGTCTAAACTTTGCCCAGCAACTGTTTTCTTGCTTAAATCTAAGCAAGTAACTATCCCTAAGTGTTCATTTATATCTCAAGAGCCTCAAAACACCTCTTCCAAGACTAGCATCCCAAGGCCACTAACACAAAGAAAGGAAAATATGCAAAATCAGAACATCAGGTTGCATTCTGGGGATAGCTTGGCCTCTAATCGACATTCCCGCCTCCCTAAACCAAAGACGCATTACTAACGTGCACATCTCATTGAAGAGAGTCATACATCAATTTGCTTCCCATACATTGACTGCCTTAGTTAAGGCTTCTTTACAAAGAGCCTGTAAATCCTGAATTAATATTAAAATTAGCATCTTTCTATAATATTTGCCCGGTAGATTTTGACCTATTCTGAAGTTTAAACTATCAAATATGCAGATTCTTGTAAAAGATCAAAATTGTCCAACTATGTTCAAAGTTTGTTATCAATTGTTCTCAATTAAGAGAACTGCCCATCAGTTCTCTTCATTTAGTAAATGATGAAGCCTGCAATGACCATTACACACTTTATTGAGATGCTACACTGTGTATTTGTGGAGGAGAGAATGCTTGCAGAAATCATTTCTGGTCCTTTTTGGATTATCAGATAATAGAGTTACTAGTAAATCTCTAGGTTCTTATTACCAATTAGGTTAAAGCAGTGGAATATTTTTACAGAGACTAAATCTATAAGGCGCTCTTTCTGGCCATAATTGTGACTCTGTATTCCAGAGGCCTATGCAAAATCTTCGTATTTATCAGAATAATCACAAGTGATGTACATCATACATTTAATGTTTGTGGGTTTTTTCCTCTGTTATAATCAGAGAGTTACTGTATTTGTTTTCTAGCTCATTTTCACTGTTCACAGATGGCAAGCAAGCAAATTGCACAGGGTGAAATGCATCTTACTATATAAAAATACCATCCATTCATGCATTACAGTGAAACTGGTATGCTTGAAGTATGGTTTAGGTATTATTGAGAAAAATTTTGAAATACAATGCTAAGGATACTTGTGCACAAACCTGCCTGTGCGAGTGTTTGTGAATTGGTAAGTGATAAACCTCTGGGAATAAGGGGTATATAATACCTATGTTGAGGGTTCCACAATGTGTTTTAATTACAAACTTTTAATGTTATTGTACTACTTGTATTTATTGATTTCTGTTTAATATTGGAAGACTCTGAAGTACCTGACTTTAAATGTTTGCACAAAACTTTGCCATATGTGTAGGGATTTGAAACTATTTTATGTAATAAAACTTGTTTCTGAAAACTATTTTTAAAAACCCACATTTGCTTTGAACAATCCTATGATGTACTAATCAGAGCTGGTACTTTAAGGAGTTTTTCAGAGATGTGTACTTTTTTTTTTTTTTTGTAATTAATTTCTAAACAAGCTTGTGGTTAACTGGGAAGGAGCTGAATGGGGAAATAAAATAAGGAAAGACCTTTCTGCTCTGTAAATAAGTGTTCTTTTTTAAGGTAGTCTTGAAATATTTGACTCTGAAGAGGATGCCATGGGACTGTGAAATTTGTAAATGTACACTATGGATTTAGGATGTGCATATCCAATAAAGTGTTCCAAAAATGTATCCTTATGTTCCCAAAACCATGGCATCTTGCCCCTCAACCCCCACTTGACCTGAATCTGCCTCAAAATTGGCAGAATTATTATTTTCAAAAACATTACTGAAAAAAAGAAACAAACCCCAAGAGCAGTATTTTGGACTTTGCAAAATGAAGATGTATTAAAGTGAGCTTTTCTAGGAAATAAACTGAGTATATATGTATGCATGCATCCACAGAAATCTTCACTCCTAAGCTTTATAGCTTCAGTCCAAGAATAGCTTCCCTGACGCATACATGTCAAATGACTTGAGGCCAGATGCAAAAAAAGGATCCAGACGCAAAAACACCTCTTGAAATCAATGAAAGTTCAGGTGTCTCAGGCCCTTTAGGAGTTATCCTTTAAACTTTTCACTAGATATTGCGCATCCATGTAAGCTTAAAGCGCTCAGTGTTCTTTCAGCAAATACTGATCAGCTGATCTTTTCAATTCAGACCTGACTGCATTTCTGAAACAAATTAGAACCATGATTTTAGTCCTTATTTTAAGGCGAGAAAAACAAAGCACTATGGATTGTTAATAAAGGTTAATAAAGATTGTTTGAATCATTCAAAATAGGATACAATGAAGAGACTACTGCTAGAAATACCATTAGAAAGAAGAGGTATGGAGGGTTTTTTGTTGTTTGTTTTTTTTCTCACTGCCTCCCCTCCTTGACCTCATAGCTGCTCTCTAAAACTGGAGTAGGTCTTTACTTTTGTAGGGGAAAAAAACTGACTTTCTTCACATCCATAAAACTGGCTCCTGACATCTGGCTATTCCTCCAGAGTTTGAAAAATGCTGATATTTCCATCGCACTCTTGGTTCACTTTCAGGTCTATATAGATTTTTAAAGCTGAAAGCTGACTGTCCTTTAAAGGAAAGGTTATTTTATTTTAAAAATATGTATGTTTTTGTCTAAAGAGAGACTATTTTCACTTTAAAAATGTTGTTGATGTGAGGTTATCGAATGGAATCTTGTCTTCCATTTCCATTTCCTCTCAAGTTTCAACAGGTCTGATCTAAGATGTTAGAGTTTAAATTTGCACCTTTACTGAGTACAAAGGAACAAAGCAAAAAGCTCATCAAGGTTTTCATAAAATACAAGGTGATTCTTAAAAATAAATTCTATATTATATAATGTGCAGAACAATAAATAACAGAATCACAGAAAACTTTGCCACACTATATATTATATATAGAGAGCACCTCCCCACTTTTACCTGAAAAGGGAAGTAATTAAGAAATAGAGCCGATGACTGTAGAGGTCTTATGTGAGATGTGCTAGCTCAAATTAATTGTTCTTGTGTTCAGTTTGTAATGGTTCATCTATCTAAACACAATTACATATTTTGACTTTTAGGGCTTTAGCAAGGAAGGTTTATTGTATGTATAGTAAGTCTGGAGTATGAGGTAAACTTAATCAGTTAATGAGCAACTGGGAAAGAGATGAGGTAAAATTGAAGTCAGATTTTAGTGAGAGACTGAGTGGAAAATGAGGTTGCTGTATAAAACACTTAAAGCAGGGATAGGCATAAAAAACAACTTTCAGGTAATCTAGCTACCTTGTGTAAAGTGGAGATGCCCTTTCAGTACTGGTGCAGATGATTCTAAACATAAATCTAAAGGATTAGACTTTAGACTGTTAGGTTTTAAAAATTTGTTTATGGCTGATTTTTTTTTCATGCTTTTGGTGTCTCGGACATTCTTTTGTGCAATATTCAAAGAAGTATTAAACTACTGTTTAGTATGTGTATAAAGAGACAATTAAGTATTTAACAAGTGAACAAACACAAAAGAAAAAACAGAATTGCACTTTAAAGATGAGCTTTATTGCTTGAAGTTGTGCCTAAAATTATCTCAATGCCTCCTGTTGTGTGGCTTTTGTTTAAAACTAATTTCTCTGCTAGTGCTGTTGTTTCCAAGATATCATCATCTCACAGAATTAATAATGTATTTAATTTTTGTTGTGAATTGATTTTTAGTTTAACCATGGAAGTTCAAGCACTTATGATGCAACTCAGAAGATTCCCCTTACCTGCTCCAAAGCTGGCATTTGAACTCCCTTTTGAAGCCAACTTTCATTGAAGTCTTTTTTTTTTTAGCCCTTAGAATAATGTTCCTAGAGTGTATTGTGGAGGTATTAATGAAAAAAACATGTGCAATACTAATTCCTGGAGTTGCTGGAAACTATCATTTATGATAGCCACTGGGGAGAAAAAAATCAATGACTTTCCATAATATGGTGCTCATTAAAAGTAATTAAATAAGGTAAGAAAGTGGTTCCCAAACTAAATTATAATACAGTGTAGCTCAACTAGACAGTATCATAAATTAGTTAATTTTACTCCATGTAGACCTTATACACCATGCATGTCCATATTCTGGTAGATGGCATGCTTCATAGGGTAGTTTGGAAGAGTTTTTGCACAGCATATAGTATTCATAATATGGATATTTTCCTACCATCAATGGAAATCCACTGTTGAACAGGGCTTCCATATCTATTCTTTATCTCATTTGTAGCAACTTTCTCTGAACAGAGTGGAATTTAACATGTGATCATGGTTGTAGGTGTTAGTTTTGTACTAATGTACAACCATACTAGCAAGGAAATTCAGTCACTGTTATGGTAAAGCTGCTCACTGCCTACCTAAGCATAAAAGCACCACGATAAAAAAAAATGTTAACTCTGTGTTAGTATTTAAAGTCTTAAATTCAGTACTAGCTACAAAAATAGCATTAATATTATTTGCATTGTTGTTTTTCTTTCTTATTTTTTAAACCAAATTGGGAGTAAATACTGTATATTGGAATTTGCTTGTAAAGTTGATTTAAAAACCTGTATGTAAAGATTCTTTCCTCAGTGTTGTTCTAGTGAATAAAAATATCATAATTATAACAAGTATCTGCTTTTTTTAGCATTCATGTGCTTATTTACTGCTTGATTCAATTGTGAATTTTCCCCATCAGAAAGTAGCGTTGTAGAAAGGAAAATGTGATGACTCTTGACTTCACTTCTAGAATTGTTTCTATGAATGGATTTGTCTTTCCCCTGCATCCCTACCCTGTCTCCCAACATGAATTGTCCCCTACTGATGAGGAATTTAGAATTTTTTCCTTAAGGATTTTTTTGGTTTTGTTTTTTAAAACCAGAAAGGAGAAAATTAAAAGCTAAGTTTGTAATTGTGCCAGGGAGCATGCTGGGAGGCCCCTCGGTGCCTCCCCAGCTCGGTGATCAGCTATGGGGGGACCCCGGGTGCCCCCCCGACCCAGGAGGCACGAGTCACCAAGCTAGGGAGTGGGGGGGGCGGGGTGCCCAGCCTGCTCCCCGGCAGACCTGGAAGTGAACCAGAAGTGCTTCTGGTCCACTTCTGGGTCTACTGCTGAGCACGCTGGGGAGCCGCCCCATGCTGCTTGCACCCCAGCATCGCAGCATTCACGAGCCCCTGCTACCTAGAGGTATGTTAGAAAAAAAACATTTAAAGCTGTGCTTATGTCCAAGTCGATTCGAAGGGTTCCAATTCAATTCAGAGAGATTAAAGGGGTCCTCTGATTTGATTTGGATTTAGAGATTTGGCCACCAAATCAGGCCAAATCTCTGCCAAATCCAATCGGGGACTGAAGCTTCCCACAGCCCTAGCAGTCAATTGACCAGTCAATAGACTGGCTTGCCAACTCTAGATAGTAGGACTGTGCAAAATGCCTGCATTTCATTTCAGATTCGGCATTTTGGAGGGACAGTGATTTGTTTCAGTGTTTCAAATCACTGTCCCGTTTCATTTAAGCCAAAACTGTTTTGGAGCTGTTTCAGAATTTTGATGGTGTTTTGGCCATAGGCTATAATGGGGAATTGCAAAACTGCCTATAACTTTGTCATTTCTTGCTTGATGTGGATGAAACGTGTGGGTATACTAGTCCTTTCTGAGGCCATGAAGCATGCCAAGTTTCAAGGAGATAGGTGCAGGGGCTTTTGTGAAACTGCACCTCGAATTGTTCAAAGCAAATGCATATCACTTACCTGCAGCGTCAGCCTGCTGTCATCTCACATGCAGATCCAGGGGCTTGCTTCCCCCAGGAGAAGCCTAGCACAGCCCCACCCCGGGGGCATGGCCCCCCCCCAGATCTGCATGCGGGACGACAGCAAGCTGCTGCTGCTGGTTGGAGCCAGTGCCAGCACTGGGTTCTTCCCAGCGCTTGGCATGGACTGCACCAGACAAACTCAGGTACTGGCACTGGCCTCAGTTGGCAGCGGCAACATGCTGTCATCCACATGCTCTGCAGTCGGTGTGTGGAGCTTTAAAAAAAAAAAAACAACAGCTGTACACTCACCGTCTCTGGCAGCTGTGATTTTGGCCTTTGAGGGCTCGTGGCAGAGACCCCCTCCATGCAGTGGGAGGCAGTGGGGTGCAGCAGGGATCACCCTTCCGCACCTGTGTGGCAGCTGCACCATCATGCAGGTGCAGTGCAGCACAGCTCGGCAGGGCACTACTTGCTGCCTGGGAGATGGGGCAGCTCCAGCAGTCACCCAGAGATCCTGGTTCAATCCCCAGCTCTCTGATCATTCCTCAAGCTTTTCCCCGGGGGGGCATGGGCCCCTGGATATGTGTGGGGTTTCATCAGGCTGCTGCTGCCGGCTGGGGAAATAGCCCAGAGCCACTGCCATCACCAGGTCTGAATCCAAAACAAAACAAAATGGCCACCAAAATTTTGCACAGCCCTACTAGATGGTATACTTCCAGGAGTCCATGTTTTTAAAACCAATAACACAGTATTGCTTTTGTTCTAAAATGTCTAAGTTTATTATCAAGTTTCACTGAGACTTCAGTACAGGGTTAGGTAACGTTCTGAATTCAGGTGTGAACGGGTAGTTGGAGATGCCAGTGCTTTTCAAATGGCTTTGCAGTTCTCCCAATATTTGGGTGTTTGGTGCAAATCTAAACTTCATTACTTTTTTATATAAAAGTTTGGCTGTATGCCAGCAGAAACAATACATTGAGTTAGTTCTAAAATTGCAATAACAAATATTATCAAAGAAGTTTTATATTTGACTTAGGACTTTCAAAAAGAGTCCAATAAGATCTGGAGCACTTGGAAATGTCTACTATAAAATAGCATTCTATCCTTACAGAAATATTCTAAATGCTTAAGTCTAGATCCTGTTTCATAGCCATATAAGTACTGGTTTTGGCAATTGCAGACAGCTAACAATTAGGTTCCATGAGCCGTGTGGTTACCGAAGTGTCCATAAATCTAATGAGCATGCCTAATAGGCTACACTGTAGCTGGGCATGTGTGTGCCTCCATGAATTCTCCAAGTATGTGTCTAAGTCCTGAAATTGTACCTGGGTGCATAAGGCCATGATTTAGTGGGTTTGAGGGGGCCTTCTATGTTATGGCCCACTAAAGAGCTTAGGGGACTTAGTCTGGTTTAGGTTCCCCCTCACTGGCAGCCATCAGTTTCCCCTATAGTCTCCTCTTGAAGCTGAGATGCTGCATTTTGTAACATTCAGTAGATATGGGAAAAGTGTGGACGTTTCTATCATAGTGGGACTAAGGATCCTGGATTGAACCTAGGGGCCCAGTCTAGCTAGAGCAACAGCCCTCTTACTCAGCTACACACCCTCTGGCTTGTTTCCTTCTTCCTGGCTTCACATACCTCACCTCCTCACTCCTCTCCAGTTTGAAAAGAAATCCCAGAAAACGTTACATAATCTGGGCACATCTACATGTGCTATTAATGCACAGCAATAAACTCCAGTGCATATTGCACCAGAATGTATTGCTCCCGGATGCCACATTTGAACGTGTGCCCAGGGCTGCAGTGCATTGAGCTGTATTGCAGTAGTCCCAACTGGCAGAGGGTCTGGGAGGGTCAGTCTGCTATCCCAGAGCTGCTCTGACCCAACTCAACATGCTGCAGAGGGGCTGGCTGGGGCAAGAAGGTGCTCCAGCGCAAGGCTAGCCATCAGACAGCCCCTGCACTGAAGCACCCTCATGCTCCAGTCAGCCCCATCATCGTCTGCATAGTTGCTGTGGAGTAAAATAAACACCACCACAGGTTGGTACTTGTATTTATAAGTACCCCCTCCTTGGGTAGTTCTCTAATCATTGGTCATTGGAAGGGTCCTCTTTTTCCTCCTCCACTTTTTCAGGCAAGTGTTCATGGAGGCATCCGAATTGATTCTATGTTTGCAGAGAGCAAAATAGTATCACAAACTATGGGTAGATGGTAAAACGCAGTCATGCTAGTGGGAAGATATGACCCTTGATGTCCAGCTAACAGTGCTCATATTAAAGCAGGGTGAAATTTAGACATTGTGTTCCACAGGAAATGTAGATACTATCTTTTATCTCAAATTGGCATAAAGAGTTGGCTTCAATTGTTTTTGTCAAACAAATTTCAGGGAGAAAAATACTTAGGAAGTGCTGGCTTGTAAATATATCCAGGAATGGCGCACAAATTAATTGCTGCCTCTAACTCCGTGTGTGCATGCGCAGGGTTTAAACTAATCCTATTTTCAGATATGTCTGCCCTGATACTTCTTATTTTGCTGTAACTAGAGAAGAAATCACTGGTTCCTTTAGTCTGATTTTGTATAGCACAAGCTATGCCATTTCTTTTAATTATACTTGTACTAAGCCTGCTAACTTGGGGCTGAATGTATTTGATAAGATGACTTAAGAAGGGAAGAACATTAGCAAATATTCTCAGGTTTATTACAAAAAGTGGGGAGAGAGAGTAAGTGAGTGAGCTATCTTGTCAGAGAAACTGTATTCTGGCATACCAGGTTTAGAGCTTGGATTGTGAGCAGACAAGAGATGGAATTGAAGGAATGCTAAAATATACAGCATTTACAAGAGCTGTGACATTCATACATGCCCTGTTGTTTTCCCTTCGTCTCCACAGAATCTTCAAACATCAGTCTCAATAAAGTGAATCCTTGTAGCAGAAGTCAGTCTTGGAGGGGGGGAGAACTACATCTATTCAAGTTTCAGCAAAATAATATAATGGTGTTGGGGCATAATACTGCAGGAGAAGAGAGGGCACTGAATGCAAAGGAAAATATCAGAAATCATTTTTCCAATCCAGAATGAACATGTTTGGCATTTTCTCTCTGGAGGAATGTTTTACTTTTTGTAAGCAAGTTTGTGTACAACTGTGTCACAACCCAGTGATTTTTTGTGCCTCGGCACTATGGAATTTCCTGGCCACATGAGAGCTCCTTTGCACAGCAGAGTGTTCTGCTGCAATTAAGAGCCTGCGTGCAGGAGAGTTCCCGCCAATTTGCAGTTTCCTTTGCAGGATGCATTTCTTCTTTACAGCACAGAAATGCACGGTGCAAAGAGTTCCATCTATTCAGATAAAAATTTGTGCCCCGCTATTGGCCAGTGCTAAATTATTCACACGTGGCGGCTAGTAATTGGCTCGCTGGCCGTTTAAAATTCCGCGCGACTTCCGCCCAAGTCGAAGAGCTTTGAGCACGCTGCAGAGTGCCTCTGAAGTTATCTGACTTGCGGCTGCCGATTGATAGACTGATCACCTATCGATCTTTCTTCCCGTCACCGAGCGCAACCCCGACGTACCCCTTTCCCCGCCGGCTTCGAATTGCGGACGGATTAACTGGCTTGGGCCCCGCCAGCTGGAGCAACTCGTATGGTTGTTCCAACAACCGGACCACCTGCGTCGTGATTGCAAGCGGCGTGAGTAAAGTTTTTTGCAACCAATAAGTTGTGTCTGCCTCTCCATTCACCAGCCCGCCCTGACGTACGAGCGTAACTCGAGTCGGCCCTGGCCGTCCGAGACAAACTGAACTACAGTAAGGATGAACATCAAAGAGCAAAATAGGTACGCAATTAACCAGATTCATGAGGTATTTCCTTTCTCTAGATTATGCAT